TGCAGTCGCGCTAGACCGAGCAATGCACTTTATACCTTAATCTTATGCATTTAGAGTATAATATCAGCAACCATGACATTTAACCGAAATTAATAAAAACTTGCAACTTAAATTTCGCTTGAATTCAGTTTTCATGTAATCGAAAAACATACGATGATTGCATTCCATTGCAGACTTAAATTGAATCTCTCAATAATATTTTAGAACAAAACCAGCAATGGAAAACAACATCGACGTAATTTTCGATTTGTGTCAGTGTTTTGTTTTTATTGTTTATATGGAATATTCTGGTTTACGAATAAAATGGAGTTATAGCTTTTAAATGGGGCAACCTTGAAATATATTTATTTAATAAGATTAAGTTTTTCTACAATTCACAATATCAATAACTTATATCTTAACTAGGACATTTTGTTCTTGGCAAGTCTTTTTACTACCGAAATTAATATAGAACTGAGTCTTATTCTAGCTGGAAGGTCATCCTTACTAATGTAACAAACTAGCAGACCGCCCCTGCTTCGCACGTTTACCCGACTACCCTTGGTGTCAGTCATTTGTTTTGCAAGCGAACGGCCACGGCGTCGAAAGGGTTGTTAATTACCGCTATTCCCCTTTACTTTTCCAAAGTTTACCACCTTCTCCTTATAATAACGAACATAACAAAAAAAGAATTAGCAAAATTGGTCCAGGCGTTATTGAATTGAGCGCTTACCAACCCATTTTGCGATTCATTTTTATATTATAGATAGAAGAAGATGAGAAAGTGCGTTCTTTTTTTTGACGTAGCAATGAAGAGTTTTCATATATTTTTATAGAACAGATTGGCAAACGATCATACAGATCATCTGATTGTTAATAATCAAACCTGCCCATTGACTTGAGGAGTTACAAGTGCGATGCCGAACTTTTGGGGATTTAGGGATTGGGGAAGGAAGGGGTATTAGCTCTCCTGTGACCTCACTTATACGGCGAAAAGCAACAGTACTGTTGTTTCAAGGTGGTATTCTGTGAGGCCGTGGTATTACGTCGGTCCATTCGCCACACTTTTATAATTTTCGTATCTGCAGGGTGACTAGTGTTAGTTAGGTTTAGCGTTACGTTAAATTAATCGACGCCTTTATGACGTTCGGCGCTCTGATTGGCCAGTTCGAAGTTAATCAGCCAATGAGAGGTCTAAACGCGGTGACGTTTCGATCGTGCAAACGTAAAACTTATTAGTTAGAACTTCTAACTTAGAAGCAACCAGATACCTAATTGGGAGAAGGAGTTTTTTTATTTGTCGCGTAAGAAACCTCTCCTATAAAGTTTTAAAGAATACAAGAAGAAAGTATTAAAAGTTTCCAATAAAAACTATATCTATGTTGCCCACTTCTCGACATACTTTTTTTTTTTTAAATCTTTATTTTATTAAAAGGGCTTTTTTTCTCGACATACTTACCTACTCTTAATATCGATATAGAACTATACATTGTTAATACCATAATTTGTAGTCACTAATTAAGTTTTTTGCAATTGCAACACTATTAACTCGTTCAAAATGGCGCCAAACAAGTAATTAAGCAATTAATTTTAACGCGACATTTAAAATAATCTTATCGATTGAAATAATGTTTTAACCAGACAAATTATATTGCTAACTAACTTGTAAATTGTAATAATTAAATAGTAAAAATGAATGAAACCATTTTATACGTAAACCAGACTGATAACTGAACTTTACTACATCGTCACAACAGTCATTGAAAAATATATTCAAAATAACGACCCTTAAAGTTGATATTAAATTCCATCACTGATTGTAAACATGTTCAATTAGTGTGCATGTTATTTTATGACTTATGTCCGTCTATTTAAGGTATAATTTATCGAGTAGCAGAACGATACATTTGGTTAAGATGTCGTTAATCAACGTACGTAAAAATGATATGCATACTTTTTGATATATTACTCTTTATGAATGTCGTTGCAATGCAAAATGATTGGAACTATACTCTTAAGGAATCAATTAAAAAATTGTTTAATTTTTTTTTTGTATAAAATTTTAATTCGGCCCCCTACATTTTTGTCTTAAAATGGACTCATTGCCCACCGAAAGAAGTCTGCGAGTCAGCTTGACGTTAGCACGATCGACACGTTGATGACGTAGTGCGCTGTGATTGGCCAGCTCCAAGTAAACCAACCAATCACAAGTCTAGACGGAAACGTTTCGATTACGATGAAGTTAAAATAACTCGCACTCAGCACGTCGATTCTATAAAAAAATTTTAAATTTGAATCGTGTTCGAGTGCGAAGCGAGCGTCGAAGTGACGGAAAAAATAAATTTTAGAATGCCACTTTTAACGTCATCTTATGCTTTATCCATCAAAATGTTGCTGTCAATTTAGTTCAACTCGCAAATGTAGCGCTAGTGTACTCACAGCGGATTCAGATTCGAAATTTAGAATGAAGTCTTACAGAATCACACTGCAGCACTCAATTGTACTATTATAAGTAGCCTTAAGGAATGTGAACAATATATAGAAATTGTAACGACAATTAATGTTGATAATATCCCAAGCTCAGTCCAACATTGTTCCAATGAATCTCAAAATACCTAATAATATTAATTCTGCACTCAAGATGGCTATTAAGCTTTCAGATAATCGTATATTCTATCCATTTATAGAACGAACAAACATAAACACGTTATTTTAAAATCTGTAACGATCTTCATTTGTCGGAGAAGATATTTCGATGTCGCCAGTCTGTAAAATAAATATGGACACTAAGACAGCAAAACGAATTCGATACCTTTTTTGCAATGGCAGCAATGATTGAAAGCTGTGACTTTAATAATGTTTTAACACCAAATATGCTTATCAGGGAAGATAACAAGGTTCTTATTGAGTGTCCGTCTTTAAGACAATTTTTAAGCGTTTCTTACAAAGGCGTATTATTTTGGTAACTTATAAGTTGATTCCAAATATTGTATGCGCGTATTCCATATATCTATACCAATATTATAAAGAGGTAAAATTTTTAAGTTCGTATGTAAGGGGTAATCTTTGGAATCGCTGGTCGGATTGCCAAAATTATTTCACTGTCAGATAGCTATAGGCTATAAAATATCACGCTACGATTAAATGGAGCCGAGCAGCGGATGAAACCGCGCGAAAGTAGCTAGTTAAGTATATTTTAGTGAATGGTGACGTGACGACTTTTAAACTCGTTTACCTAATCGAAATATTGATTGATTGCGTGAATTGCCAGAATAATAAAACAGTCTAATATTTGTTCTTATAATCTAAATGGCGGATGTAATACTTAATATAAAATAATGTTGGATGGAGCCATCATTTAAATTGTTGGTGTAGCACCTTATCCGCCCCATACTCATTACTCACCATCGTAGTAAAATTTATTTTTAAAAGGGGACCTATGAATATGACTTATTTTTTGAAAGGAATTGTAATGATACAAAGCTAACTGTTTGAATGATTGAATAATCGTCTCTAGCGCAACTTTGTTTTTTTAGTTAGTTAACTTATTGACCAACAACAATTTTTTTTTGCACCACGAACACATTGGTTCTTGGATGCTTGTATATAATTTTTTTGTGAAGATTTTTGACCAGACTAGAACATCTTAACCAATTTATCCATCTGGACTTTTCAGCTTTTGTTTTATATGTAGGTAGTTGTGAATGAGTTCGTAATGTTTTTGCTATATTGTGTATGTAGGTCTTGTAGTTAGTAGTGTGTGTAAATGTGAAGTTTTTTTTTATGTGTATGCGACTACTTGAAGTGAAATGTATTGTTTGACAAACTTAATTCTTGTTTAAAATAGAATAGGTACAGCCTACGAAAGTATCGTTCAAACAGAACAGAACTGGCCAAAAAGAAAACAAGAGAAAAGTTTGTCATATGTCAACTGTCTACACCTGTCACTGTCAAAGTGTTAGCACCGTTTCAGTGTTGTTTGGGGTAAAAACTATTTATTACTATTAATGTCCGTACTGGCGTGTCGAGTTCCTCAGCTCTAACCCGTCGAACATGTTCAGATTATGCTTCTTCGCGTATTCGTCGATCATGAGCTTTCCTGAGAACAAACAATGCGCAAATTGGACAATCGCTAGGCAGAAGAAAAAAAAACTGCATCGGATCATAGACAAATTCAATATGGCCGCGTTGTGTTGTGTCGAAATTTGAAATTGATTTAATTTATTCTATTAATTTTTATTCATATAAATGATACTAGATGCAGTTTTTTTATAGTAAAATAATATACTATTGGAGAAACCTTTTCTTGATATAAAACAATACTTTGTGTATTTGAAAATATTTATTGAAAGTATATTTGAAATTTTATTCTACAGAGAAGGAAACAGATGGAGATTCACAAATAAATTGTGAAGGTTAAAATTATAGCAAGGAATTACTTAATTCAACACTTGTTCAAGTGAATCTCAAATAAAGGTTTTACTACACATATTCGCATTGCGAAAATTCAACACAAATCAATATGAGACAGTTTGATACCTTACTATTGAAATGTTTACTTTTTAATATTAAGACAACACCTTTCGTAATTTAGGTTTCTGAACGAAACTTATTTTTTTTCAACACTATATTTCGACTGCCGCAACGAACAGTATCGAAATTGTAAATTATCAAAACTTTTTTTATTGCTTTATTTGAAAGTGCATATAATGTTCTACCAGAAATAATAAAAATATTTTTGAAAAAATATATATTTAAGCAAGTTTTAAGTCGAATAAAATCGATACTCCATACTCTGAGCGACTAACATCATCGAATGTGACACATTCGATCGTGTTCGTACGTGTCGATACGCGCGCATCGATCGTAACTGCCCGAGTCGTTAGTGTTCGCCGCGATGTGAGGAAGGAAGCACGTGTTGATGTTGTTTAATTTTAAGTAGTTTTCATTTCTTTGTTTCTTTTCTTTGTGTTTTATTATTTCTTATTTTAAGTTTGAAAATGAATAGGCGAGGTAGATGTATGGTTGATTTAGTTAAAAAAGTTGAACAACAACAGCGTTGTGAAACCGATATCAACGAAAAAAATGTCGAACATCCCGGTAAGTGAATATTTTATATTTAAATTGCTTACCTACATTAAAAATAAGTTTTGCTGTATGTCTATATGTTTGAATTTATTTAAATAATAGATAATAATAATTTTGTTGCATCATAATGGGGGTTAACAAACAAAACTATCGAATGTGGTAGATTCGATACTGTTCCACGTAAAAATAATATTGACAAATATTGAAAGTGGCACTTTCGATAGTTTACGCGGACATTTTAAGCAAGTGAATTATCGAATGTAGTAGTTTCGATTGTATTCTACGGGCGACATTTATCGAATCTACCAGTTGCTATACTGTTCTACGCTGAATGCTTATTGTATTGGCAGTTTCGATAGATGTAAGATATTTTTATTAGTTATTCTTTTATTTTATAGGTGTTTTCTTTTATTTTAGAATCCCCTGTTCATTATAAAGACTACACCGAAGAAGAATGGAGACTTTTGAACAATATTTATGATGATGTGTTTCCTACTTCACAACTAGAAGAAGACAAGTCTAATGAAAGTCTGGCAAATGATTCCCATAATGTTATACTTGGCAGTGAAGAAGGTACACCAATGCCATCACCTGTCTCTGGACAAGACCTTACTTTCGGTATACCCCTGTCTGAAGACCCCGTAGACGCCCCTAATGAAGAAAGATTACTGATGCAGTTGCTTCCTTCTGGACTAGACCTTCCTATTGACACAACACCAAACGTAACTGATGACCCTGTAAATATACCAAGTTTAAGTTCACTAATTTCAATATCCGACAGTGAATTCAGTAATTCTCCTAATCCATCTTCTTCACGCAAGCGCAAGCCGACGTACAAAACTGATCTTGGTCGTAAACGAAAACGGCACATCAAAGATTGGGTCGATGTTCGTAGAAAAACATTGACAAACTGCGGGCTACAATATGTTTCCAAGAAAGGTAAAATTGTGCCCGCTAAATCCATGAAACCACCATGTCCTCTAACCTGTAAGTTGAAATGCACTAAGGATTTTACAGATTCTATGCGAAAAAATATTTTTGATCAGTTTTGGCAGCTTTCCGACCACACTAAGCAGTGGGAGTTTATAAATAAATTTACTAAAAGATTTGATAAAAAAAGGATGACAACTGAAAATCCGTCTAGACGAAAATTTACCACAAAATATTATTTACCTTTGCCTACGGATGATTCCACCTTCGAGACTCAGCAAGTTTGTTTAAAGATGTTCTGTGGCACTCTCGCTATCACCGATCAAATAATCCGAACAGCACATAGCAAATTAGACTCTTGTGGAATTACTAGCAGTGACAATAGAGGAAAACATTTAAATCACCCGAAAAAGATAGATGATGAAATGATACGCAGTGTTTGTGATCACGTCAAATCTTTCCAACCCGTTGAATCCCATTACACTAGGAAAAATACAAGTAAATTATATTTGGATAACTCTTTAAGTTTTAATAAGATGTTTTCAATGTACAAAGATTGGCCAGAACTATCGAAATATAATAATACAGCTGAGACCGAAAGGCAATACCGAACCATTGTAAACGACCATATGAATATTGCATTCTTTATTCCGAAAAAAGATTTGTGTGACAAGTGCCACGCATTTTCTAATGAGGTGAGCCCTACTGAAGAACAAGTACTGGCTCATAATAAACATATTTTAAACAAGGAAACTGCAAGAAAATATAAAGCAAAAGATAAAGAAGATGCCATTCAGAGTACATCAAAAACAATTTGTGCAACATTCGATTTTCAGAAATTACTTAACTGCCCTTCTGGCGAAGTGTCTCTTTTTTATTATAAAAGAAAGTTATCATTGATGCATTTTACAGTTTTTGACACTGGTATTAAGGAAGCTTCTTGTTATTTATGGCCACAAAATGTTGGTAAACGAGGAGCAAACGAGGTAGGAAGTTGCTTGTTAGATTTTATAGAAAAAAAGGTGGCTCGTGGAGCAATTGACATACGGTTTTGGTCGGATAATTGTAATGGTCAAAATCGCAATAGAGTGATATATAGTCTCTACATGTACGCCAGTAACAAATATAATATTAATATCACTCACAGATTTCTTGAGTCTGGTCATACTCAACAAGAAGCAGACAGTGTACATGCTTTAATAGAAAGAACTGCGAAGGGTAAAATAATATATACACCCGATCAATGGTATGCTTTGGTTTGCTGGGCCAAAACAAATAATGAGCCATATAACGTCATTGAAGTGTCTCAAGACATGCTGTACGACTTGAAAGAACTATTGCAAAACAGAAATTTTAAGAAAAACACTTCGAATCATGACGTCAAATGGAATAATATCAAGGAAGTTTGTGTGAAGAGATCTGAACCAGACATTATTTTATACAAATATGATTTGGAGGGTGATTACTTTAAATTAAATACCTTAGTTCAGACACGTCGCAACAAAAAAACAGTTGTAGATTACTGCAACGACGCACTGAAACCATTATATTCCGATACTTTACCAATTCCGGAAGCTAAATATAAAGATCTTATACAACTTTGTGAAGCAGGACATATCCCTAGACAATATCATGCCTTTTTTAAAAATCTTAAAAAGGTTCAAAGTGAAAATGTTTCGGGGAGTGATGAAGATGATTAGATTTTAGATGAGACTTTATTTTTTTACAGTTTATTTTTTTAGTAGATATTAAGTGTTTATTAGAATTTATGTTTTGTTAAAATACCAAATTGAGGGGTTTTTATTTAATTTTTATATACCTACCATTAAAGATGTTTCTATTAACGAGACTGAATATAGTGACTGATTAATATAGACAGGCACAGTTGTGTTACACGGTAAGATTAATTAATTTACATAAGACTTAATAATCTCATTATACATTAGGTACCTATGAACACTAATGTGTCGTTAAAAGATTTCATTTATTAAGATTTAAGATGTGTGTGATTTAATTCTGTGATGAACAGTTTGTTTAGTTTTCTTTAAATAAATAATGTTACTCATGATTGATCTCATGGTAAGATGACTAGTTTTTATGTTTTATATTAATAAATATGTGTATTTTAAATTACCAAACTAGCGTTTAATTTTAATATGCCTCTTTCTGCGTCAAAAGTCCACTATTATCATAAATTGCAAATAAGCTACCTATCGAAAGTGTAGCAATATTTTTTTTTCTTACATGAATTGTCAAAGAATATCATCGAAACAGGCAGATTCGATATTTTCTATAATTTTATGAACCGTGAATACTATTGAATATGCCACTTTCGATGATATTGCAGTTTTTTTTGACATGGTATATCATCGAATGTGAATTTTATATACAATTTACGTTTATTATTTAAACCAAGTCTAGGCAAACAGAAACACATGAAATTAGCTATCTTTTAAGAATATAAGTTTTATAACATTATTATAATTTTTGATTGGAGGTCAAAATATAACTTTGAACTGCTCTCTTGTAAAGTATGTGTTTTGCAGATTCGATACTGTTCGTAGCGGCAGTCGATTTGACAGTTCGATAACAGTATGACAGAATCGTGACAGATTAATGAATGAATGAATGAATAAGGGAATGAACTAATACTTACTAAGACTTTTTTTATTAAAATTTCGTAGAAGTACGTAATCCTAATAAAAACATTGTGTTAAATAAAAAATCGTTTAATTAAATGTGTAAACATAGTGATGAAAAAAACAAACAGCGTTTAAGGTGTTATCCTAACATGTATTGGTTAATAGTTTTTTAAAGTACTAGTAAACCTTTTAAACAAAAATATTAATACCAAATAAACCAAGCATTATTATTCTTTTGCCCTCGCACAAAATCCTCGACGAATCCACAATATTATCATCATACAAATCTACATATTTCCTCTCATTTCATATCTACTATTCAGAAAGTGAATTTAAAATTTATTCGACGAATAATTTATGTTTTTAGGCCATTGGAAAACGCAATAAATTATACACAGGTTGGTAATTGAGAGACGTAACGAAATAAATACAAAAATATTGTATTTAAATTAAATATTTTATATGTTAATCGAGCCTTTTTTCACCACGAGCGATTGGTAGAGTAATATTTCATTTATTGATATGTTTAAAGAAATTACAAATAGAAATACAAACAAAAACATGTACCCGCTTGCTTCCTGTCACTTACTGTCAAATAGGAGTTATTTGTTTTTAAAAATGGAATCACTTAGGATAAAACCTTTTCAGTGTAAGAAATAACATATTAAACTTCTATATTCACACTTGTATTTATTTAATTGCTATTTGTTATACCATTTTATTCCATAGATAACATTAAATTATCTGGCTTTTGAAAAAACAGCCCTTAAAAGTTTTGCCACGTTGTGTTTAGAATTAAATCATAGAAAGGATAAAAAAAAGAATTACTAAATTTAAAATTTCGAACCGTTCTTAATTCAAATTGACATTAGACAGGTACACATCACACTTTTAAATATCATGGTGGAATATGACTCACGTATTACATTCTACCTTCTTGGTTTTTAAGAACTCACTATCCTAACTACCTGTAATTAATTGTTAATCACACAATATCCCTTTAGTAAAAAGCGGTCTGTCAAGGACAAATATGAATGAAATACATAGGTATTATTCATGACCTAGGTACGACAAGGAGGGTAGTTAACGAAAATATGGACAGAGAAAAACTACACGTATGTCCTTGTGTCATAAATCATATTTTTTTGTACAAGATACGTTCGAAAAAAAGGTTTATTAACCCCAACATGTACGTAGGACAAAAGAAGAATAGAGACGCAAGCGAGCAACATCGGAAACAGATTATTAAATAAAAATATTTATTAAGGGCTGATTTTTCAATAGTCAGATAAATGTTATCTGAGGAATAAAATTGTTGCTATCACTGTCTTCTACAAACATTCTGACGCGACAGCATCAGAATTATTCTCCAAGTAACTTTTATCAAACCATTGAAAAATCAGCCCTAAGTGTAATATTAAAAAATATTTTTCAACATATGAGTTGTATAAATCTATTTGTGGTATATACTGTGTATTTCAAATGCTGCTCCCGGCTGTGGCTAAAAAAAGGTTGATTCGTGCTAGACTGCAGGGAGCCCTGCTTCGCCGAAGCTTAGCCGCGTTCGAAGCACGTATGGAAATAACAATGGCCGCTCACATAACAAAGTTGTATCCGTATTCGATTCGAAGTACGGAAGACATTTAGGCGTCTAGGCTCGCTACAATGTAGCTCGAACTACCGTATTGTTTAAGCACTAAAAAGGTTTTTAACATGATTTTATTTCGGTTAATTGACCATTTCTTTTATTTTTGTAAAAATAAAAGATATGGTCAATATTTTAATAATTAATCGATAATTCGGTTTCATTTTCTTTATCTAATCTTGACAACAACAGTATCAAAACACTAATAAGTTAATCATTAAGATGTAAACAAGAAAATACTTTTGTCATCATTAAAAAAAAACCTTTTAGCGCTCAATTCTACTCTATAGCAACCCTGCGAGCGATCGCTATGCAAATAAGTTTCAGAAGTACAATTGCGATGCAAATAAAAAGCAGAAGGCCTACCTTCCTCTATTTTCCGCGCGGCCTCGTCTACGTCACTGCCTGCGTAATTCAAGATGACCAGGACCAATGGCATCATCTCCCAGGTATAGTGGAACTTGTCGAGCAGCTTATTACAGTTTTCCATTAAGCTTTCTAATGAAACCGCTGTGGAAGAGAAAAAAAACACGTTTAGTAAAATTGTTAACTTATAAATTTATCACTTATCAACTAGAAAACTTTAATAAATAGTTTGAAGAGCTCTCTGATCAACGAAAGCCAACACCCTCTTTAATATTCTAAGCCTAGTGGACTCTCACGATTCATCATGACATATATAAAATTCACTTTTTTCCAAATAAAATTATCGACTGAACAGTCCTGAACACCCTAACATATCTTGGAAACACTAGCCTTGGTTGCAGTTTGGGTCTGCAGACAGCGAACAAGAATAAGTACGGCTTATAGATTTTTATAGAATTCCGCGCGCGCCAAGGCTGATGGATACAGGACAGAAGCCTAATTGGACTGGTGTTCTTCATTGGTGACGGTTCAAGTGCAATGATACCTATATGGGCCTGGGACAAAAGAAGCGTGGTGGTAACAGCCTATAAGAGTCTGACATTATCTCTTGCCCTTTTTTTGTGAGTTATCACTTCCCAGAGAACACGGTGGCCCAAGAAGGACACACTGCCACCGTTTTTTTTTTTCTTTAATAGATCGGCAATCTAGCAGACGGATTACCTGTTGGTAAGTAATCAGCGCCGCCCATGGACGAGTTACGAGTGCGTTGCCGACCTTTTAGGGATTAGGGATTTGGAGAATTAAGGATTGAGGAGGGATTGGGGGTGGGGAAAGATTGGGCCTCCGGTAACCTCACTCACACGGCGAAACACAACGCTGTGGTTGTTTCACGCCGGCTTTCTGTGAGGCCGTGGTATCCCTCCGGTCGAGCCGACCCATTCGTGCCGAAGCATGGCTCTCCCACCACCGTTTCTCTAGGTAGTCTTCACAATGACGACTCTCGGGAGTTTCCACCCGCCAGATCCGAAACAGGAACCTACCGAAGCTACCGTGTCCGGTAAGCACCTGCGTCAGGCGGAAGGTGAAGATTTTATGGCGTCTCTCAAGTCACTCCACACATAGGGGTCTTACCGCTGTTATAACAGCGTGCCCTGGGCGAGAAAAGTTAAAATAATATGATAATACTAGCTACTCTCGCGCGGTTTCACCCGCTGTTCGGCTCCATTTAATCGTAGCGTGATATTTTATAGCCTATACCGCTCAGGAACATTGTAGCTATCTATCAGTGAAAGAATTTTGGAAATACGACCAGTTTTTCCAAAGATTACCCTCTACGTATAAACTTACAAATTTTACCTCTTTATAATATTAGTATAGATGATCATTTTCCCACAAAGAGTTGCAATCATACCGAATTATTGTGCGTTTTATTGACCAAACTTTAAGTACCGTGCGAGCACTTAATAGATTTCTGAGTATTTAACATACAAACAAAGGTAGTTCAGTGTTGAATGACCATTGTTTATTTACTCACACAACGATATGCTGACATATTGTATAAATAAAATAAACATCTCAATGGGACCTGAAGAGCCGAACAGTTCATAGAAATCATTGTCTTGAAACTTTTATCATTTTATTTACACAACTTTTATTATACATAAGTGTGAAGTATTAGGGTACAATTTTGTTTATACTAGTTAAATATAACATCACTACTTATTTCCAGTAGGTTCGGTAGCCATGAGGTTTTATTGCCAAGTAAAGAAGCTCTGAATTGATTCTCTGACGAAAAAGTTTGTAATTTTTTCGAATTCGGCAACTCTCCTATATTGCCTGTATGTATTCGACTAGATTGGCTCAGTTTTTACGATTAAAACATTTATACCTCAACATCTAACCCATTTTTAAATACTTATTCATGTGATCTATTTTTTAATAATTATTATATGTACATGGACAAAGGGCTCTCCTGCTTTTAATTTCCCATAAGTATATAATATTTGCTTCTTTCATTTATGCCTGGAGGTTAAAGGCCTTGTGCATGAGGTTCGAAATAAATATCGGGAAGAAAAGCGAACATTTTATTGTAGATAAGTTTAGCTATCCCAGTCAAAATTGTGCAACAACTTAATTAATGATTACAAGTACCTAGGTACTTAGGTACCATAAAACGATTAAGCGACCTCCAGTTCTTTGAATTTAAGATTCATAATATCGAATCTAAGTAAAAAAGTATCAAAATTAAATTAAGAAGCAGTAACATGTCTCTTTTAATTGTGATTTTATTTATAGCACTATCAAAACAAAATTATAACAGCCATGAATAAGTTGTTAATAAATGTATTCAAACGCAATAGCCATTATTCAATTCTTACTTCTTTTCATAAAACTCGTTTAGCATTGTAAATCAAAGGTTTTTTATTAAATAATATTATATTACGCAACAATACTTAACAACGCAATAAATCAGGATCCAGTAACGCCGGAACTAAGGAGCGTATTAAAAAAGCAACAATCAAAATGGCGGACATTTATCACCGTGACAAACTTGACAGAATGTCAATCGACACCAATGGGACTATCGACTGACCATAAACAAGGATTAAGAATATCGTAGCGGTACGTCACTAGTGGCCATAAAGTTGGATGTCAGAAGGTCGCGCATCATACAGACACTTCGGTTTTACGACTTCCCTTTGTGCTGACAGCCCCGTCGACTATAAAAACCCCATTCAGAGGTGTAGAGACACTTGGCACACGTCGTCATGGCTTTAACCTCCAACTGGAATAGTGTTGTAATGTGCGCTGACGTGTAAAATAGACATATTGCTACTTAGGCACAGCCTTATTCCGTATTGTGCCGATTGCTACTACATTTCGCTATGGGTTTTAACTTTGCGAAATTACCGTGCTGTTTTGTTTTTCTTCATCTAGAGATCCGAAAGAATTAAGACCGAAAGTTTGCTGAGGTAAAGTTTATGAGACTTAGTTAATGATTACCGTGGTGTCCCGAAGTTTAAGACACCCGCTTCTAATGCATGAGGGTGTCGGTTCGAAACTTGACAAGTAACAAATCTTTTTCTGCCGAGTCACATGTACTTATATAGATCATTTAGACACTTCTACCGAACGGTTAAGGAAAATATCGTAAGGAAACTTGTACTTCTCGAATTAGCCTTGAGCAAGCATTAATGTTCAAACCTTCTCCGTGTGAGATTAATGCCTTTGCTTAGCAGTGGGCACTTATGGGCTGATGATGATGAAAGTATATTTAAGTGGATTTAGTCTGATATTATAAACTTATAGTTATTATACATTCACACATTTCCTTACATAAATGTTAATTTTAAGTCACTCTTTCTCTCCTTTAACTAGCTTTTTTTAAAGGGAAGATCGATAAATGACTTCTCTCGCCCAGGGTGAAGCGAGAGGGAGTGTCAGACTCTTACTTACTAATAACCCCTTGTTACTTCACCTGTTTTGGACCGAGGCCGTAGTAGGTAACTTAGATATTGCGCTAGCCCTACAAACCCCTTCCTTTTATTATCAAAAAACGTTAATTTATCTAACAAAGGAATAATTTCTTTCAAAATGTCTGTCGCAAAGGAACCTATTCGCTAAACTAAGATAGTAAAGAGAACTATGAATTGGTACAGTGACGCAATGCGGACCTCACTTGACGTTTCGGTTTTACGACATTATTACGTTGTACGAAACCAATGCCAGCGGGACCTGACGAAAAACTGCTCGAATATCCGGATCAAAAGATCTTGGTTTTTAGGAAAGTTTATTGAATGAAGAAAGCTTACATGTATGATAATATTCATTAAATAGTGGAAGTTTAAATAGTTTTAAGTGTAGGAGAGCCATGCTTTAGCACGAATGGGTTGGCTCGACCGGAGCTATACACGCCGGTTTTCTATGAGGCCGTGGTGGCCTCATAGAAAACCGGCGTGTGCAACCATAGCGTTGTGTTTTGCCTTGTGGGTGAGGTTACCGGAGGCCCAATACTTCCCCAATCCCTCCCCAGTCCCTAAACCTCTAAGGTCCTAAAAGATTGGCAACACACTCGTAAATCCTCCGTTGCGGGTGTCCATGGGCGGCGCTGATTGCTTGCCATCAGGCAATCCGTCTGCTCGTTTGCCAACCTATTACTACTTATATAAAAAAGTGGAGAAGTTTAGTAGGTATCAGCGAAGCACCCGTGCGAAGCCGAGGCGAGTCGCTAGATCGACAATAAACGGCAATGATTTACTTCACTATTAAGACATAAATAGCTCAATCTATCATTCTAATGACTCGAACTTGAATAAGCAATTTGTCGATAACAGCAGTTTTTTAAATGCCTGTAAACACCGTACTCAGAGTCGTATGTAAAGTGTGGGAGAGCCATGCTTCGTTACAAATGGGTCGGTTCGACCAAAGTGATACCACAGCCTAACAAAAAACGTCAGTATTGTTGTCCAGGATGTCCTCGAGGAGGGACAAATTAGGGGGGCATATTGGTGAGTGGTGACGACCTCGTCCTCTATATTATGAAGACCACGACCACTCCATCATGAGGACAGAGATTAAGAAGGAGAAAAGGCTGCCAATGCATTTGTAAAGAACTCTAGTATAGCGCGTGTCCATTAGCGATGCTAGCGCCAATAGCTTAAAATTAAATCATATATATCTAGAGATAACATTTTTCTAGTTATTGAAAAATCAGCCCTAAAACAATAAAAACTCATAACGAAAAATAAATAGGTAGGTACCTACCTAATTAGGTCATGATTCAGTTTACTATAGGTATGTAAACTCAAACGTGACCTGTCTATTTAGATTTTTATTTGTAATACGACCTTTTTGTTGGTTTTTAGAATAGATGAAAACTGAATAGTACAAATGTCTTTTGTTTTTGTAATAGTTCAATGGTCGAAATCTATTATGAAAATATAATGATGTAAGTAGGTAGGTAGTATTGACAGACATGATATCATAATCTTACGGTCAATAAAGATATTATTACTCAATATTATTTATTTAAATAAATGAGACATGGTTTAAGAAAGGCGATTCTTGCATTTTTTTTAATCATCCTCTTTTATTTCGGTTCTCAATTCAAATTTGAATTCGTTCTTTTTTTAAACATTTAGTTAGTTGAGGTTAATAATGAAAACAGTTTCTATTTGACGAGAAAACTCAGAATTGCTCGGTTAAGCGCAGTGGTCGGGAAATTAGCTGTTGTGCAACGTGTCACGCGTTCGATTCTCGCACGGAACAACTCTTTGAGTGACCCACATACTGTTTCTTCGGGTCTGGGTAGCTTGTGTATGTGAATTTGTATGTTTGTGCACACCCATGACACAGAAAATCCTAGTGTGGCAGCTCACTTACGTAAATAAGATTTAAATCAAGTAAATTAAAAGGCCCCTTGACATTAAGCATCATTTTCTTTGATATTATGTGTCGTCAGAACATATGCACACAACAATCATAGTAGGCATAAACTAAATACCTACTTAATTTGTCAATTAAATCCTCACAGTATGTAGCAAAAAGCATATATTTAGCATGTATATAATTAAACACATTTTATATAAAATGTTTTATAATTTATAAGCTTTGGTTTATCGTAAATAAATGATTACCTACCGCGGTATAGTCCAAGGTTTTAATAGCATCCATTTTATTTATATTTTAAGTACTGTCATTCCGCATTTTATTTTCACTCTAACGTTTGCTAATTAATTTAACTATCGC